GGGGTGGGGGTAGGGGTAGGGGGGATGGGGAGTAGTTCTATGTACATAAGCTACTGATAAAGTTTGTTATTCCATACACTACATACACAAATAGAACCAGTACTGGATATGAGACATCTCTAGAAGGACATGAAGATAGAAAGGGGTAATAGAAGATGCTGCAAATGAACAAGCTGGGCAAGGAACACGTAATGGCATGAGAGTTTGTGAAGTAATAGGCCCCAGCTGCATTGGCTCATCTGTAACAAAGCAGTGGTTGTTCTAGTGAAACCATGGACACGTTATGATTTACCACTATAAATGACAGATTCTTATTTGTGAAAACCAAACATGTGATCTGTGTATAGGTCTTCCAGATCAAAGATACTGTCGTCCTTGCTGCTAGGTTCCCAACAGGGATAAGTTCCACCTCCAATATGGCCAGGAATTGATGGTATCTGCATGGAATCAACAGAAAAACCTCCCCCAGGAGCTTCCATGGTACTCACAAAACCATTCTTAGCGACACTACAACCATGGACTCCAATATGATCAGCATTTGGTGATGGCAAACTTGCAGTGTTAATGGTAAGACCTACTTGACTAGCTCCAACCAACTGCTTGGTCATTAGCTCTTCCAGATCACACCCAACATTATTGACTGCATGAGTGTACATTCCCGTGCCACCAGCAACTGATGGTTGCAAGCCAAGTGATGGAGATGTCCTAGTGTCAATCCCACACCTTACTCCAGAGGTGCCCTCTACCAGTACAGTGACTGGATGAGTGTACATTCCGGTGCCACCACCAACTGATGGTTGCAAGCTAAGTGATGGAGATGTCCTAGTGTCAACCCCACGCCTCGTTCCAGAGGTGCCCTCTGCCGGTACAATGATTGGATGAGTGTACATTCCGGTGCCACCAACAACTGATGGTTGCAAGCTAAGTGATGGAGATGTCCTAGTGTCAACCCCACGCCTCGCTCCAGAGGTGCCCTCTGCCCGTACAGTGACTGGATGTGTGTACATTCCGGTGCCACCACCAACTGATGGTTGGAAGCTAAGTGATGGAGATGTCCTAGTGTCAACCCCATGGCTCGCTCCAGAGATGCCCTCTGCCGGTACATTGACTGGATGAGGGTATATTCTAGAGCCACCAGCAACTGATGGTTGCAAGCTAAGTGAAGGAGATGTCCTAGTGTCAACCCCATGACTCACTCCAGAGGTGCCCTCTGCCAGTACATTGACTGGATGAGGGTACATTCTGGTGCCACCAGCAACTGATGGTTGCAAGCTAAGTGATGGAGATGTTCTAGTGTCAATTCCACACCACACTCCAGAGGTGCCCTCTGCCAGTACAGTGACTGAATGAGCGTACATTCTGGTGCCACCAGCAACTGATGATTGCAAGCTAAGTGATGGAGATGTCCTAGTGTCAATCCCATGGCATGCTCCAGAGGTGCCCTCGGCCGGTACAGAGATTAGGTCTTCTACCTCTTGCAGGAACTCATGCACGTCGGGAAATGAAACTGGATGAGTGTACATTCCGGTGCCATCAGTAACTGATGGTTGCACGCTAAGTGATGGAGATGTCCTAGTGTCAATCCCATGGCATGCTCCAGAGGTGCCCTCGGCCGGTACAGAGATTAGGTCTTCTACCTCTTGCAGGAACTCATGCACGTCGGGAAATGAAACTGGATGAGTGTACATTCCGGTGCCATCAGTAACTGATGGTTGCACGCTAAGTGATGGAGATGTCCTAGTGTCAACCCCATGGCATACTCCAGAGGTGCCTTCTGCCGGTACAATGATTAGGTCTTCTACACTTTGCAGGAACTCATCCACACCGGGAAATGAACTATTCAACTCACTACCAAGAGCAGCAACAAGTGGGAATTTCTCGGGGTTAACAGCTGATGGTCCTTCAATAGCATCAGTCATGCAGTTTGTAACTGGCCCTGGTAAAGATAGCATCCCTGTGTCAAAAGCTTCAGTCACATAGTCGGCAATTGGCCACTGAGATTGTCCTCCACAAGGTCCTGTCAACTCGTCAGATTTTTGTCCTTGTGAAGATTCAGTAATATTAGCAGCACCCACACTAGTGACATCATGAATGCTTTTTCTCCTCTTTGCGTTATTGTCATTTAATCGACTGTAGTACTTCTGGGCATGGCTTGCCACCTGTGTTGGTGTTCTAGAAAACACAAAGTTCCTTGATATACCCCGCCAATCACCCTTTCCGTGTTTTGCCAACCCCTGGAGAAAAGACCTAAGAAAAGAAAGAAGATTAAGAAGTTGCTAGCTTGGGAATTTAATCCATTCAAGACGATATCTGCTTGAAACTAATTCATTCTCTCAAACAGCACAAATTTATGCATCTTTGAAATTCTAATCACAGTCGTTATAATTATATAGACATTTTTTCTTCCATCTGTATACAATGACCACATCTAATTAAGTTTGAATTACCAAGCTCAGTGTTATTTCAGCAGTCATTTATCACTGCTGACCACCTGCACCCAGCCAAAACAATACAATATACTAGTAAGGTGCCACTCATTGGATGATACTTTGGTGTTTATAGGATCATCTCACTTATCAAGAAGAAATGTCTATAGAATCATCTCCTCACTCACCACATCATTCGTTGTTGCAATAGTCCATTATTCAATCCTACTCAAATTGTAGAAGGATATATTTCTCTTATCTTGAGAAAAATGGAATAGTAGAACAACAAACCCCACATTGAAGGATATGAAAAACCATACCAAGAAAAGGAAAGATAAATATAAGTATCGTAAGCTGGAAAGTTTTTCCAGTACACAAATTTGCTCTAGTCTATTTGACCCAATCATATATTGCCAGCATCTAATTAACCGCCTCTTCGGCCTACACATGGTATTCAAAATTCATAAGGTGCTAAAGAGGAAACTAGAGGTCTTTAGTTAAAAATGAACTAAGCTTGGTGGTGATATACCTATATTGTTCACATCACTGTTCGTCAACAATAATTCACAAGTGTTTCCAGCACGAGTTAGATTGAAGCCTTTACAAGTCTGATGTCTACAGTACCTTGTCCATATATAATAGTCATTCAGCTGTTTACGAATAACAATTATACCGATGATGCAGTGACTTACGTTACAAAACTGATATCAAGCTGTACTCCACTCTTCTATGAAAAAGACAAACTTATATAGAAAAAAAAAGAAGCATTGTATTTAATTTTACTTGAGAACAAGCAACTCAAAGAGAATTGAAGAAATTACTAACAAAGCAGAGGGGTTTTCTTTCATATTTTCAGACACCAAATTTCTGCAAATTTTCTGAGTGGCATATTCTAATTCAAAAATTTCACACCAGATCAACTAAGAATCTACTCTACATTTAAACATAATATAAAAATAGAAATGATTTTAGTTACGATAAAGACTAACACAGCTTCTGTCAATTTTTTGGTCCAAATAAACAGACTTGCTGTCAATCTAAAAAATAACAGGAAAAAGAAGCATTTTGTTGCAAAGAAATTCTTAAAGAAGCAACTTTTAAATCCTTACTGTAAACAATAAAACTTATTCAACTATCAAGAAACTCATGATTGAAGAGATCAATTAGTCATCAATTTAGTCAGATGTTTCGAACCAAACTAACATGGTAATTACAAAATATACAGGAAAAGCCTCACCTGTGTTCCTCTGCAGTCCAAGGAAGCCCTTTTCGCCGTTCTACCCCTGCTCCCGATGATCTACTTCTGCAGCTAGAAGAACTTTGCATTCTCTCATATTTAGGTAGCGGAACTTTGCCAGACTCTATGTCATTAATATCTTCAACTAATACATTATAATGATCTATAATTTCTTGAAGAGATTTCCCAGGAACAGCAGCAGCGATCTTCAGAAATTTATCACTATCTCCAGAAAATACAGCCAAAGCATTCTCAAATGCTTTGTCTTCCTCCTTGGTCCAGAAGGAGCTATTGCATGTTCGGTTGAGGCTCATTTTGTTGGATCTACACAATGAAAGGTTTGACACGAAAGGGATAGTTTCTGAAGAGTTCTCCCAAATTGGATAACTTCCATATATGACAAAGACCAGCATAAATATTTGGTGCATCTATATATAATTTTTTGTTGCCCTTGACACTTGGTTAACAGAAATGGCACAACACTCCTACTTCATTAATCAGCTATTAATTTAACTACAGTCTACCTCCAAGAGGTAGGGGTAACTGCATACACTCTAACATCCCCAGACCCCACTCTATGTGATTTTACTAGGTATGTTGTTGTTGTTGATTTTAACTACAGTAGTGAGCGACTGTTAAGGGTAACAGGCAGGTGGCACACTCAAACAGAATGACCGCAACGATTTTTTGATCTAGATGTTAAGGTGCACATCAACATAGAGGAAAGCAACCAAATATATAAGACTTTGAAACGGTCACTGGCTAACTAAGCAAGATTAATACAGCAAAAAATTACTTTGTGGAGAAAAATTAATCTAGTGCCTGTTGTTCCTTTATTAATCACTTCATATTTGTTTTTAAAATTGTTAACCATTTAAAGCAAGCAAACAGTAAATGTCTGATTAATGAACTAGCTCTGGGAAGGTAAAAAAAAATACGACAAGGGATATTCAAGATGAGCAAAATAGTAAGAATTTGACCAGATATTTCTGTATTAGGAATAGGATCTACAAGTCCCTTCTATATCGGGTCCAAAAAGTATATAATAAAGAGATCTTGTCCCCTTATTTTTAACTTTTGTTATTAAAAAGAAGATTACATTAAAAGACGCTGCATTCCGTATCAAAAAAATATTATAAGACCCAACGAATGAAAATTGCGCTTAAGCTGAACTACAAGTCTATAACTACAGCAATGAAGCATATCTTTCTATATTTGCAAGAGACCAATCAAGAGGATATCTGAAACAGATCTATAGACTAGCACATAGAGGATGCAACAATGTCATATGCACATTCGCTACTATCGCTCATACTATACAGCTAAAAAACATTAGAAGATATGTATTTATAATAAGTTTGCACCCATTGGCACAAAGGAGCAGTTCGAGGTACTTTGCACCCACTAACTTAAAATCCTAAATCAGACTTTTGCCTTGCACCTCATAAAGTAAAACAAAGGCATCCAGTTACACAAATGGTGTACCAAAAGATTCAATTTTGAAATGTTTTGACATAAAATTCGAACGAAATGCTCCACACCACAATCAACAAAAGCATCAATCTACAGAATCTTACTATCTTTGGCATAACAAAGTTCCCTTTTTTAACAACTAAAATACTTAAAGATTTGGTTCACCGGAGAAACAAATATTTTCAAGTTATTTGAAAAAAATCGAAAAGGTGAATAACTTCCACAAAGTTTCTTGTGGAAGAACAATGTTGTAGAAACATCAAAGATGAGCAGTTATCAAATAGACACCACATAATGCACCAAGTAAAAGCTAGCAAATTATAAATCTTTTTTCAATTTTAAATAAATCACAGATGACAAACTTGAATATGATCAAATTCCAAGAAATTCTACTAGTTTCCCAGCAATCTTAACCTCCGAAATAAAAAGTGCGCAAATAATAAATTTAGAGGTCCAGAATAGTCTAGGGCTGACATACAAGTCCATAGCAGTTAGAATGACTTACCTCAGTTAGAATAGCTCATGTTATAAGAGAAACCAAAAGACGAATATGTTCTTCAATTATCTTTCATTTGAGTTTTAGTAGTAGAAGTTATAAGATAAGTGTTTCCCTCTCATCACCAAATAAATGAGATGGCAGCATTATTAAGTTGGGTAAAACATAAAACTCTTGGGGTACATCTAAGAAGGGTTCATTTCCCAAATTTTCCTTCTACAGGCTTCGATTTGCAGAATCATCCTAAGGCAGGAATCATAATCTGACCCTTTATATTACAACCAAATAAACACTTAATACAATCTCCCAATAGCCATATGTTTGTAAAATATATGCTATTACTTCTAATTTTTTATGGAAACTAAGTCATAAGAAAAGAATCATTTTAGTATTCTCATAATCTTATCTCCACTATTCCACTACTTATCCCCATTATTCCATCTGTCTCCTTTTTCTTCATTTGTTGGGGAAAGGGGGGCAAGTGTTTAAATGGCTTCATTTGACATGAAAAATTGCTAGTGCATTGTGTTCATGTGGATGAATCAATTCATGATTCACTAGTCAAATGGTACTCCATGGTAACAGAAAATATCCACACCAAAATTAGAAGTCAGGGTTCCGGGCATAATGCGTGTATTGTATCTAAAAAGCTTTACTTTCTTGAAAGTGATAAGTTAGGAGGAAAAATCTCAATAATATTAAGTAAATATCATCCTAAGATTGTTCAACTCATAACAGTTCTACTACTCAGATACATCTTGAAATACCAAAAGCTTACAAGTTTGAGAATAAAGTCCAACAAAAATGATAAGGGAAAAAATCCTAGCCACTTTGAACAAACAGTCATCATCTAATGAGTAATTAATTCCTCAATACAAATCAGGAATGCAGATAGAAGTTATGTTCTCTTTTTCTTGGTTTTACCCTTTTCAGTACATGTATCGGGACTCTAAAAATTCTAGCACACTTAGCAGAAAGGCATTATAACAAAGTTAGTATGTCAAACTTCTTCTTTTTTTGATGAAGTAAGTATGTCAAACTTCTTTAGCCTCATTCTCTACTCTAATTTAGCTTCTGACTGGATTAACTGCAGTATCAAACCTTCACTCACTGAAGACTGAAAGTAGGTCCAGATGCATAGATTTATTGGAGAAAGCTTACAACAACAACAACAACATACCAAGTGAAATCCCACTAAGCGGGGTCGGGTCCACCATAAGGGGTGCTAATTATCCCATTAGTCCATTAGGTTGTCATCTTCAAGAGAAGAAGTTTCAAGAATCTTGGATCAATAATTCAGGAATATGGAATATAGAGCTAGTGAAAATTCTCAAGAAGAGAAAGATTAATATAGCCTGTGTCCAAGAGACTAGATGGGTAGGCGCCAAGGCTCGGGAGGTTGATGGGTTTAAGTTGTGGTATTCAGGAGGGTCTAGGGATAGAAATGGAGTGGGTATTTTAGTAGACGGGGATTTGAGGGAGCAAGTGGTGGAGGTTAGGAGGATCAGTGATAGGCTGATGACGATTAAGCTGGTCATTGGAGGATGTACTTTGAGTGTTATTAGTGCTTATGCTCCCCAAGTGGGCTTGGACGAGGAGGCCAAAAAGCGCTTTTATGAGGATTTGGATGAGGTAGTTAGAGGTATACCGAATACCGAGAAGATTGTCATTGGTGGAGATTTTAATGGCCACATCGGGGCAACTGCTAGTGGATTTGATGATGTTCATGGAGGCTTTGGTTTTGGGGAGAGAAATGGAGGTGGAACTTCGCTTCTAGACTTTGCTAAGGCTTTTGAGTTGGTGATTGCTAACTCATGCTTTCCGAAGAAGGAGAACCACTTGGTTACCTTTCGTAGCCCGGTAGCTAAGACCCAGATAGATTACTTTCTCCTTAGGAGGGGTGATAGAGGTCTATTTAAGGACTGCAAGGTTATCCCAAGTGAAAACCTCACTACCCAACACAAGCTTTTGGTGTTGGACCTGAAGATTAAGAGGGATAGGAGGAAGAAGATGTTATCTGACCGACCGAGGATTAAATGGGGTGGGTTGACCCCTGCCCTTTCTCGGGAGATGGGTGAGGAGCTGATGGGGATGGGGGCATGGAGTGGTAGCGGGGATGCGGACAACATGTGGAATAAAGCAGCTAGTTGCATTAGGGAAGTTGCTTCTAAGATGCTAGGGGTGTCTAGGGGTAAATTCGGAGGACATAAAGGAGATTGGTGGTGGAATGGGGAAGTCCAAGGTAAAGTGGAAGCGAAGAAGGCTGCATACACAAAATTGGCGGAGTGCGTAGACGAGGAAGAGAAGCGGACGCTTAAGAAAGCCTATAAGACGACAAAGACAGAAGCTAAGTTAGCTGTTTCGAAGGCGAAGACGGCAGCTTTCGAACGCTTGTATGTCGAGTTGGGGGACAAAGGTGGGGATAAGAAGTTGTATAGGCTCGCAAAAGCAAGAGAGAGGAAGGCGCGCGACTTGGACCAAGTGAAGTGTATCAAAGATGAGGAAGGCAAAATACTGGTGGAAGAGACCTCTATCAAGCAAAGATGGCGAAGCTACTTTCACAAACTTTTAAATGAAAAAGGGGAAGCGGACATTGTGTTGGGTGATTTGGCACACTCTGAAAGACTTCGGGATTTTGGATACTGTAGGTGCGTTAGGTCCGAGGAGGTTATACGGGCTATTAGTAGGATGAGCAGGGGAAGAGCGACCGGACCCGATGAGATTCCGGTAGAATTTTGGAAGAACATGGACAAGGCAGGCATAGAGTGGTTAACTGGGCTGTTTAATGTTATTTTTAAGACAGCGAAAATGCCTGATGAATGGAGGTGGAGTACAATGGTTCCGTTGTATAAAAACAAGGGTGATATCCAAAACTGTAACAATTACAGGGGTATCAAATTGTTGAGCCATACTATGAAGATTTGGGAGAGAGTGGTGGAGATGAGAGTGAGAAAAGGGGTGTCCATCTCCGAGAACCAGTTTGGATTCATGCCGGGACGTTCGACTACCGAAGCCATTCATCTTATGCGTAGACTGGTAGAAAAGTATAGAGAAAGGAAGAGAGACCTTCACATGGTGTTCATTGACCTTGAAAAGGCCTATGACAAAGTACCGAGGAATGTCCTCTGGAGGTGCTTGGAGTCTAAAGGAGTCCCGATGATTTATATTAGGGCGATAAAGGACATGTACGGTGGAGCCAAGACTCGGGTTAGAACA